CCCAAATGTCTATCTGACCTTTGATTATCCTACTTGGAGCCTTCAAAGGCGTCTTATACCCTTTATGTGTCTAACTTCATTTGGCTCCCAAAGTTGTTCTTTATCTCGTCTTCTTTCTCAGCCCATGGCACCCCTTGTCCATTCAGTTCATGCCAGAAACCTGGGGTTCATCTTTGATATCTCCATCTCACTCACCTTCCATAGCCACTGTGTTACCAAAGGCTGCCAACTCTAGCTCCTGAATGTACTTTTGGCCTATTTTTCTGCCTTCCTTGCCATTATCTTGGCACAAGTCATCATATTTTCTCTGAATTGCTGCAAGAGCCTCCTAAATGTTCAGCATTGATAGTTTACCTCCTCCAAATTTTCTTTCCATTACAGCGAGAGATCTTTCTGACATGTCACTCCCCTCCTTAAAAATCTTCAACCACTCTCTATTATTTTCAGGACTAATTTAAACCTGCAGGTCCTTCACAAAGTAGGACTAGCTAATGTCCTCAGAGACTCTTAGCTGATTTTTCCAGCCCTGTTTTTCTTTCTCTCCTGATACTGGGTGTTCCCTACTTAGTATGCCATGCATTCTTGCCTTGGGCCAATGCATACATTGCTTCTTCGACCAAAAATGCTCTTCCACTTCCTCTCCTAGTCTTTTCCTCATTGATTTAAGTCCTCCTTGACTTTGCATCTTAGCTTAAGCAACACTTTTGGGAAGTGTGTCCTCACTATCCAACCCTGAGAAAGGGGCCTGCTCCCTGTGTGGCTAGGATACCTGGAGGGACCCAGTTCTGACTCCTTTTGTAGCATTTATTAAACATATTTGCTACTGTCCATTTATTTTTTGCTATTGCTCATTTATTACATTAATCTTAGTGTCAAGAACAGCACCTGCAACCAGATGTCTAGCCTAAGTGTTAAGACACCCACATCTCATCCAGGAGCACCTGGGTTAGGTATCTAGCTCTGCTCGTGGCTCTAGTTTCCTGTTAATGCAGACCTGGGAGGCAGCAAGTGATGGCTCAAGTAATTGGGTCCTTACTGCTCCAATGGGAGACCTGGATGACATTTCTGGTTCCTAGCCTTATGGATATTTGGAGAATGATCCAACAGAAGGAAGCTCTCTGTCTCTCTTTGTTTCAAATAAATAAATATATAAATAAGTGGAAGAATAGTGTCTGGTATGAAGCAAATGCTCAGTAAATATCAGTTGAATGAATGAAGCCGTCCAAGTCCCACATGCTTTCTAATAAATCAGTTTGTTTCTTACTGCTGTAACTGTTATAAGAGATTGGCATTTGCTTTGGCATCTAGACCTTAGAAAATTTTGTTGAGTTTTCAAAAAATAGTTAAGACATGAAATAATAGAGTGAAGTAAAGAGTCTAAGTTTGTTTATGTCTTCAGGCTTCTATAAGAACTATTCACTTGGGGTGGGCATTGGAGCATAGTGGGTTAAGCTGCCACCTACAGTGCTGACACCCCATATGGGTGCTGGTTCAAGTCTCAGATGCTCTACTTCTAATCTAGCTCCCTGTTATGGCCTGGGAAAGCAGCAGAGGATGGCCCAAGTGCTTGGGCCCCTGCACAAACTTGGGAGACCCTGAAGAAGCTCCTGGGTCCTGGCTTCGGCCTAGCCCAGCTCTAACCTTTGTGGCCATTTGGGGAGTGAACCAGCAGATGAAAGACCTGTGTCTCTGTCTCTCTGTCTTTCTCTGTATCTCTCTTTCTCTCTGTAACTCTGCCTTTCAAATGAATAAAATCTTTAAACAAACCTATTCATTCTCCATCGAATACCTAATTGGCTCCTTGTCACTTGATCGTAAGGGTTAGTATCATCTTACCAGAAGGGTGCTTCCCGAGTACACCATCTTGTGCAGCCCCATAGCTACTATCCTTGATCCCAATTTAAACTCTCTGTATAGCATTGTTTCTTGGTTTGTTCATTTATTTTTCTCTCTCTCTCCTCAAGGAGACAAGGGACCTTATCTATCCTATCCATTGCTGTACCATAGGCACTCTACAAACACATGTTGAATCAATGAAAAGATGAATAAGGGAATGTCATAGAAGTTGAGGTGATATGGATTTGGACTGGTAAGGGACAGTTGCAAGCCTTTTTTCCCAGGAGTAATATTGTTCAAAAGCCAACCAACATGCCTGTGTGCTGTGTTTAGGTAGACATGAAGTCGTGTGTGTAGCCTTGTCTTCTTTATTTCCCATTTTCTTCTTCCTAAGGGAAAACAGACAGTTGTTTGATGGATGGTCCTGTTAGACCATGTGGCCTAAATGAGCTGATAAGCATGTGCTGCTATTAGCAGGACCAAGAGAGAAGCAAGCTCTGGGAGTGTGAATGAGTATGAAAAGTAATCTGGGAATCTTCTATAGGAAGCCTTTTTAAAAAAAGTGAAGGTAACAGTTTGCATGCTTCAGTTTCAGAAAATCTGTTTACAAGGCTCGTTATGTCTGAGTTAGCCCCAAGGGCAGTCAGCAGGCTCAATGTAGGTGGTTTTCTTTGCAATACCACAGTTGTGTGGGGCCTTGGGCAATCATAGTGGTGCTGGGGCAAAGGGCTGGCTGGAAAGGAGGTAGTGTGCAATTGCATTTCTGTTGAGAAGGCAGAAGCGTGGTCCTCAGAGGCAAGATAGAGCTGATGCCTCTGTGTGTGGGCATGAGAGTCGGATTAAATTACCTTCCCAAGTTCCTTCAAATCCTTGCAAACATAAGCCAAGGATGGTCTACATGCAGAAGGCAACTTTAGAAACGAAGTGGACCTGTCCATTGTTGCTCCCTACTTCAATACCAGGGCCTCTACTAAATGGTCCACCATCTGCCACCAGGGCCCTTTGGGGGCAACTCTGGATTCTCTTGTCACAGAACTCAGTCATGATTGGAGCATCTACTTTTGAGACCAGGCTTGAATTGAATTATTTGTTTTACCTGGTTAATTGAACAAAGTTGTATGACTTTCCACCTTCTGGTGCCCACTTTGGTGTTTATTTTTTTCTTTTGTGGAATATGGTGAGATGTATATTGTGGTTTTTAGTTGAATCCTTGTTTAGAAAAAAAATAGGATTTGCAGAGCTCAAGCAATGTCTCTTTGAGAAAGTGACATTCAAGCAGAGACCTGTAGAAAGAATAAAAATCCCCAAGGGGATGGTGTTAGGAAGACTGTTTCAGATGGAAGGAGCCACACGTGGGAAGAGCATGAGGTGAGGTAGACAATGGAGCATTTGAAGAAGGAGAAAGGTCAAGGAGACTCAAGGGCAGATCCCCAGATGAGCTTGGGAGGAGGACAGGGACAAGATCACGTGGGGTCTTGAGGTCACACTAAAAGTTTATCCCTTTTCCCCAAGAGTAACAGGAAGTTATATCAGTTAAAGGCAAGTAAAGGTGGCAGGAACTTCTCTACATATTTCAACTGACATAAGGAATTTGCTTCACTTGCACTGGAGGGCTGACAGAGCAATGCACGCCCACTGGGAAAAGCCATTGTTAGCACTGTGAGAAGCAGCAGTTTCCACTCCACTGGACTGGTGGTTTTATTAGAACCTAGAAGTGCTCCAAAGGACCCTGGTGGGAGGTGGGTGGAACACGGAGTTGGGACCCTGGGTGGAAACAGGGAATCACCCTTCTAAGGTGGCTGTCTGACAGGGAGTCCTGGGGGTAGAATTTTCCCCCCTTCTGCCTTCTGCTGTCCTGGGAAAACATTAGCAGAGGCTAATGGGAAATGTAGTGGACAAACTCCCAGTCACAATGAGGGAGCACGATAGAAAAGGGTGGTGCCGGCGCCGCGGCTCACTAGGCTAATCCTCCGCCTAGTGGCGCTGGCACACCGGGTTCTAGTCCCAGTTGGGGTGCTATATTCTGTCCCAGTTGCCCCTCTTCCAGGCCAGCTCTCTGCTGTGGCCAGGGAGTGCAGTGGAGGATGGCCCAAGTGCTTGGGCCCTGCACCCGCATGGGAGACCAGGATAAGTACCTGGCTCCTGGCTTCGGATCAGCGCAATGCGCTGGCCGTAGTGCGCCAGCCGCAGTGGCCATTGGAGGGTGAACCAATGGCAAAAGGAAGACCTTTCTCTCTGTCTGTCTCTCTCTCTCACTGTCCACTCTGCCTGTCAAAAAAAAAATAATAATAATAAATAAAAAAAAAGAAAAGGGTGGATGCGGGACTGAGAGATAATAATAGAGGATAAGTCAGTAAAGGTGTAAAGGAGAAGAGAGAGAAGACTCTGAACTGCTAAGGGATTAAAATCATGCTGGTGACAACTTCCTTTCTGGGCCCACAAGATTATCTTCATTTATGGGTAGAATTATCTAGTGAATTCTCAGCAGCTCAAGTTAAAACCTGCTGATCTTCCATTCTGCTTCCAACAGGTGCCTATGAATTGTACAGAACTACCTGATACAATAAATACCATGTTATGTCATGGCACATTGTAATGTCTCATTTAATCCTCACAACAAACCCATAAGCTGGGCACTATTATTATCATTGTTTAGAGTAAAACTGAGGCTGAGGGAAGTAACCCACTAAATGTCAGACTGATGTTTGAGTGAGGGCTTTCTGAGCCAAAGCTTGTGCTCCTACCAGTATAATGCAGTATCCAGCCTAGAATTCTGAGAGGGTCTATAAAAGGAACCTCCAAATAGTCTTAGAAGTCCAATTTCTTCTTAAACTTCCTATTTATCTATCTTTCTGTCTGTCTGTCTATCTATCTATCTATCTATTTCCTATATTTGAAAGAAGATCTCCTATCTACTGGTTCACTCCTAAAATGTCCACAACAGTCTGAGCTGGGCCAGACTGAAACCAGGAGTCCAGAACTACAGTTTGGGTCTCCCCTGTGGGCGGCAGGAACCCAAGTACCTGAACATTACCCACTGCTTCCTAGGGTCTGCATGAGCAGGAAGCTGGAATTGGAAGCTAGAACTTGAACCCAGGTAATCCCATATAGGGTGTGGGACTCCCAAGTGGCATTTTTTTTTTATAATTAAAAACATCGATTCATGCTTTCCAGAGAATTTTTAAAAAGCAAATCACTAAAGGCCAACACCTCTCTCTGCTCTCAATACTAAGCCATTTTCCCATTGGTAAAAATGAAGTGATATGTATTTTGATAGTAATCAGTTGGTGATGGCTGTGAGTCTCATTTCTAAAGAATACAAACAAGATCAGAGTGGCTAAAGGACCAAATGTAGCAATTTTCAAAACTGGGTAGGCAAAGCCTTACTCTAACTGACCAAATGACCAATCAGCTGCACTGTGCCTTTTAGGGGGTTCTGATGTCTTTGTTCAATAGCTCTGCACATCTCAGCGCTGTCCCCACAGACGTTCTCAACATCACAAATGCAGCTGCGGATGGCCATGATGTTGCCAACGGCAGCGAGGGCGTGGAGAGGAGATCTTGCTGACCCCGTTTTCTTCCTCAACAGGTGTCGCTCCTTCACTTGCTTCACCTGCTTCCTCTTCTTCCTTGCCCGAATCTTGACTGTGGGTACCAACAAAATAAATGTCTTCCTCTTCTTTCTTCTGTTTTTGCTTCTTCGTGGAGGCTTTCCTTCTCTTCAGTGAAAGTTTGCAAGTCTTGATTGTTGAAGTGCTTGAGTACTTTTCCACTTGGGCCTTTCTTTGAAGTGAGTTCAATATTCCTAGTGCTTTTAGGGTGTTAAAATAAAGCTTTTCTATTGCCGTTACTGCATTTTTCCAAGCAACTCTTTCAAACAGTAATGGCTTCCTTTTAAAGTTCTCTTTCTTCTAGTTCTCGTCAATATTGTCTCACTCCTTCCTTTGCACTCTTTCTGAGATATGTAAGCCTGGAGTTAGGCATTTGAGCTACACCTTGATGTGAGTCACCATCCTCAGCCTGGCTTGTCAGCAGTTTCTGCAATTCTTTCATTCTTTGCTTCTGCTTGGCTAGGACCCGGTTTCTCTCGTCTTCCAACATTTTCTTTTCCTCATGTGATCTCCTGAGGGCACCTTCTCGTGCTCTGGCAGACACTGTGGGCGTGGGAAGGTTGCAGCTACAAGGCATGGGCTTTGCGCTGGCACTTGGTACTGTTGAGTGACGTCCCGAGGGCACACATGGCCAATGTGTTTCTCTGACATTTTCTTCATCTGCTTTGATGTCTGCCGAAACCATCCCTCTCTTGGTAGCCCTGGCGGATGCAAGAAGAGTGAATGGTTTGAGTCTTGGACACTTGTGTTCTGAGGGGTGTTTCTGATGTCTCTCAGGGAGGCCTTCAAACTCAGGAATCTGGCCGCTTGCCTTGCACCTGCACTTGACAGCCTGCTCAGGACACCTGGGATTCCTCAGGCGTCTGTAAGCTGCCTTCCGAGGCGGAGGGACCGAAGTCTGTAAAAGCTCCTGGGCTCTTGGCTGTGCTCTGCTGTCCCGACACAGATCTTTGCATTGGTCCCTGGTAGCTGAACCATAAATAGATGGAGGTGCGGGCCTGGCTTTACATCTGTTTGTTTTCTTTTTAGATTTCAAAAAGTCTCTGAGTTGCTTTTCCCGGACTGCCTGCTTCTGTTCCTCTCTTGCAATAAACGTAAAAGGCTTTAGAGAAGCCAAAAGAGCTTCTATGTTTTTCTCCTTCATGGTCCTCCTCCTTTCTTCATTTTGCTTGACCATCTCATGGTAAATGGGGAGCAAGACACCTGCGGGAACCGGGGTGGCTCGGAACTTCTTCCTACACTCAGCATCCTCTTCTTGCTTTTTGAGCAGTTTATGTGCCATTTTGGGATCCCACTGAGATTTCAGGGCCTCTTTTTTCTTCTGTTCTCGTATGGTCATTTGAAAAGGCTCTGGTACTGTAAGCCTGGGCACCCATTCTTGGCGTGTCCTCTTGGGTCTTTCCACTGCTAGACAGTCGGCGTCTTCACCTGGAATATAATCTCTAACACGGAAGTTTGCCCACATGTTGTGGATGAGCTCCTTAGCATAGGTCATCTTTCTGGTTTTCCCAGGGTGCTCTTTTGCTAGGTTGGGCCATTCCTCCTCAGAGGAAGAAGTGCAGAAAGAGGAACACCAGCCTAAGTCGGGATCCGAAAACCACGTCGTTACAGGGTGATAGGAGTTCCTTTCCCATACAGGTCTGGAGGATTCACTGGGAGCATCCTGCCTGATGATCACTGGCCAAACCTCCGCTCGAGGTAATTGGCTGTGGTACGTCGTCTCTAATTTGGCCATAGTTTCCATGTGGGCAGCCTTCAGCTCTTCTAGTTTCCTGAAATACTCTTCATTCGAGTGATAAATGGAAGAAAAGGTCACAAAGTCCTCGAAGCTGATAGGATCCCCCACCCCAGGAAAGTCGCTGTGCCAATCAGCCGACGCCCACGCAGGTCGCACCACGTCCTCCTCCCCGTGGTCCCCCAAGGCCACCGCCAGGGCCTCCAGCGGGTCTGTGTCTCGGTACCGGGCGACCCGCGCTCCCGTGTTAGGGTTCAGCGGGGGTTGGAGACCGGTGGCTGCCATCACCCGCCTCCGAGGCCCGAGCGCCGGTGCTGGCCGGGCAGCGGGTAAGTGGGCGCCGCCCCTGGAGACCCAGCGGCTCGGGGCTTCCCAGCGGCGTCCTAACCGCCGTGCCTGCTCAGGACATCCAATTCCTCACCTGTAAGAAGATTCCTGGTGCGATTTCTGCGTTAGTTGAGACACAGTAGTTAGGATGTTTTGTCTTGGACTCTCCTGTATAAAGATACTTACAATTTATAGAGAAAAAAGTTTTTTTTTACTGTAGGGTGAATGTTATCATTTTCACCAAGAAATTGCAGTGTTGCCTTCCAAAAAAGACCCAAGATTTGTTTCCCACTTCACTCTACTCTTAGTGTTTCCTTCTTGTCAGATTCTTTCATTAAGGATGCAAAGTTTGCTTAGGAGGTGGGCCGGTGTGAAATGTTAACACAGATAATTTGATGAGGCTGCAGTGACCAAAAAGCAAAATAATTCTCCTGGAAGAAAAGCCAGAATTCCTTATTAGGAACTATCTGACGCTTGCTTGAAGTTAATAGCAGTGCAAACGCTTAACAGTGTTTGGAGATGATTTAAACCCAAAGCAACGCCGGCGCCGCGGCTCACTAGGCTAATCCTCCGCCTAGCGGCGCCGGCACACCGGGTTCTAGTCCCGGTCGGGGCGCCGGATTCTGTCCCGGTTGCCCCTCTTCCAGGCCAGCCCTCTGCTGTGGCCAGGGAGTGCAGTGGAGGATGGCCCAGGTGCTTGGGCCCTGCACCCCATGGGAGACCAGGAAAAGCACCTGGCTCCTGGCTCCTGCCATCGGATCAGCGCGGTGCGCCGGCCGCAGCGCGCCGACCGCGGCGGCCATTGGAGGGTGAACCAACGGCAAAGGAAGACCTTTCTCTTTGTCTCTCTCTCTCACTGTCCACTCTGCCTGTCAAAAAAAAAAAAAAAAACAAAAAACAAAACCCAAAGCAAATCCATGAAACACCTTACACTATAGCCATAGTTCAAGTCCTGGACACTGCACACATTAGTCAGTGAGTACTATTTTGAAATATAGCATGGGATGTGTGTTGTAGAAGTAGGCCAGTTGGTTGGTGCTGATTGTCAGGTTTTTCAGAAGCTTATGTGGAGTGACTTAGCCTCTCTGTAGACAACTGATTGAAAAGGTAATAGTTATCTAGACATAACACTGAAGTTGCAGTGGATGCATCTTGAATATGCATAATAATGGTGTTTTAACAAAATATGAACAATGTCAGCACACCTTGACCATTTTGTTTCAAAGCGTGTTGTGCTTTCTCCCAAATTCCATTCCTATGCTAGTACAGCATTAGTTTGTCAGTTTTTAAAAAAATTAAATTGGAAACCAAGGTCTTTAATAGAGATATTCTCTTTCAAGCATAGTACTGCCTTAGATTTTTAAAAATGAATTATTAATTTATGTGAGTAGCAGAGAGGCAGGGAAAGATATGAGATACGTATCTGAGAGAGAGTAGGCTCACTCCCACTCACTAGTTCAGTCACCAAATGTCAGCAATGGTTTGGACTGGGCCAAGGCCAAAGCTGGGAGCCAGGAATTCAATCCAGGTTTCTCACATGGGTGGCAGGAACCCAGTCACTACTGCTTCCCACGGTGTCCATGAGCAGGAATGCTGGAGTCCCAGAGCTGGGAATTGAACCCCGGCACTCCAATATGGGAGGTGAGTGTCATAACTGCTAGGTCAAATGCCTCTGTCCCACACTGGGTTTTTGTCGGAGTTTCTATCATTCCTGAGGTTCTTTTTCTCACTTCTCATACCTTCAACAGTTTACACACTGCAAGCTTTGTGTGTCAATACTTCCTGAAGGACCTGCTAGACTCTGAAACAAGCTTCAAGGAAACATAATTGTCATGCAAATAGTCATGTGGTTGCAATTGGCTTCCTTTTGTGTCCACATTGCCCACCCAGATGGAGTTCTGGTGCGTCGTCCGTACTTCTGGAGTGTTTCCTTGCTTGGCTTACTGTAGGCAGCTGCTATATAGAAAAACAGAGGTGGAAGGACACTGCAGTAGATTTTAACCATTTCTGTTTATTAATTCTTTGAAATCACCCAAGTTCCTAGTTAAATGCAACAACTTCTGCCTTGCCTGAGTGGAAAAATAATTCTACACCTATTGGCCATAGGGTGGAGGAACGATTCTCAAACTGTCAGGACATCATTCTTAAAAATTATGGAGGACCTTCAAAGAACTTTCTCTTTTTTAAAAAAAAAAAGATTTATTTATTTATTTGAAAGGCAGAATTATGCACAGGCAGAGAGAGAGAGAAAGAGAGAGAGAGAGAGAGAGAGAGAGAGAAAGAGAAAGTCTTGCATTTGCTGGTTCACGCCCCAAATGGCTGCAATGGCCAGAACTGGGCAGATCCAAAGCCAGGAGCCAGGACTTTCTTCCAGGTCTCCCACACAAGTTCCGGGGCCCAAGGACTTGGGCCATCCTCTACTGCTTTCCCATGCCATAGCAGAGAGCTGGCTTAGAAGTGGAACAGCTGGGACTCGAACCGGCACCCATAAAGGATGCAGCACTGGCCCCCAAAGAACTCTCTTTAAGGGTGTTATGTCTATCAACATTTACTCTGTTAAAGATTAAAATAGGAAAATTTTTAAAATATTTCACTTCAATAACAATAGCAATAAATAAGAAAAATTAGAACTTTTATTTTTATAGTTGTAAAATATAATGCAGAGAGACGCCTCGGTGGTATAATCTTCTGTAACTGGAGTACAGTGTCACAACCAGGATATTGACAGTGATGAAGACAAGGTATAGAACAGCCCAAATCACTACAAGGATCTCTTGTGTCACGCTTTTAAAGCCATATCTCTTCTGCAGAAAAGAATTAAACATAGAATTACCATGTGAGCCAGTCATTTTATTTCTGGATATGTACTCAAAGGAATTGAAAACAAGGTATTTTAAAATGTATTTATCTAATTTTGTTTACTTGAAAGGCAGAGAGACAGAGACACATCTTCCCTCTGCTGGTTCAGTCTCTGAATGCCTTCAGCAGTGGGGCTGAGCCAAGCTGAAGCCAGGGACTGCCAACTCAGTCTGGGTCTCCCATGGGAGCGGCAGGGACCCAACTATTTGAGTCCTCACCTGAAAGCAGGATCCTGAAGAGCTATTTGCACGTTCCTGTTCACAGCAGCAGTATTGACAATAGCCAACAGGTGGAACCACCATACTGTTTTCCCCAGCGGCCGTACCATTCACATTTTCACCCACAGTCTTCAAAGACTCCATTTTCTCCGTATCATTGCCAACCCTTGTTACATCCTGTCTGTTCTGATGGTAGCCACTCTAATGGGTGTGAGGTATCTCATTATGGTTTGGGTTTGTATTTTCCTAATGATTAGTGATGTTGAGCATTTTTTTCACGCGTTTATTGTTACTTGAATATCTTGGGAGAAATGTCTACTGATGTCCTTTGCCCGTTTTTAAAGAAGGTTGTTTGGGGTCCTTTTTGTTGTAGAGATTAGTAGTTATCTATATAAATCTGAGTAGCAATTGCTTTCAGATATATAATTGGCAAATATTTTCTCCTATCCTGTGGATGCCTTTTTATTTTGTTGATGGTGTCTTCTGATGTACAAGTTTTTGTGATGTTGTATGTAATTTTTTTGTATATTGCTTCATTCAGTTTGCTAAAATTTCATTGAGAATTGTTATATCTATATTAATGATATATATTAGTCTATAATTTTTCTTTTTTTTCTTGTATTTGTCTGGTTTTGGTAATACTAGCCTCATAAAATTAGTTAATAACTATTCCCTCCTCTTATACTTTCTAGAAGATACTGTATAAATTTTTTGTTAATTTTTAGATGCTTTGTAGAATTCTCCAATTAAATTATCTGGGCTTGGAGATTTAGTTTTGCAGAAGATTTTGCAGCTACAAATTCAGTTTTTTGATGTTTATTCAGTTTGTCCATTTCATATTAGTTGTGTTGTGGTAGCTTCTGATATTTGAGGAATTGGTTCATTTTCTCTAAGTTTGTGAATTTTTGAACATAGAGCTCACATTTTTTTTTTTACTATTTTTGGTCTTTTTAAAATTATGAAAAAACACCTATTATTTGTGATTTTAAGTATGCAGTTTGGTAGCATTTGGTAGATTCACAGATGCATCACCACTTTCTAGGTCAAAAACATTTTCATCACCCCAAAAGGAAAACCCACACCCATTAGGCAGGCACCCACCATTTCAACTTCCTCACAACCCTGCGTGAATTTTCAAACCCTAGATACTCATATCAATGGGATCATACGAAATGTCACCCTTTGTTTCCAGCTCCTTTCACTCAGCATAATGTTTTCAAGGCTCATTCATGTTTGGTGTGTGTCACACTCCATTCTTTCTTATAGATGAATAATATTCCATTGTGTGCATGCACCATAGTTTATTTAGCCACTCATCGATTACTGGGCATTTGGGTTGTTTCTGCCTTATGACTGTTGTGATCAAGGCTGCTATTTTGTTCAAATACCTGTTTTCATTCTCTTTCACTTCTACAGAAATGAAATTCCTGGGTCACATGATAATTCTGTTTAACTTTTTGAGGAGCTACCAAATTTTTCCACAGTAACTGTTAACTGTACCAGTTTGGATTCTCACCAGCAATGCGAGAGGGTTCTAATTTCTTCACATCATTGCCAATACTTTCTAATTTGTTTTAATAATTACCATCCTAGTGGGCATGAAGTGGTATCTGATTGTGGTTTTGATTTGAATTTCCCCAATGGCTAATGACGTTGAGCATCTTTTCATGTACTTTTTGGCCATTTGTATATCTTCTTCAGAGAAATGTCTATTTAAATCATTCCCCTACTTTTTAATTGAGTTGTCTTTTTGTTATTTAATTATAAGAATATAATACATCTTAGTTACTAATTTTTACCAGATATATGATTCGTAAATATTTTACTCTATTCTTTTTACTCTCTTGGTATTATCCTTTGAAGCACAAAATATTTTTGTTTTGATGAGATCCAATGTATCTATTTTTCCATTTTTTGCTTATACTTTTGGTGCCATGTCTAAGAAATTGTTTCCAAGCCCAGGTTACAAAGCTCATCACTGTTCTTTCTACAGTTTTAGCTGTTACATTTAGTTGTTTGATTCAGTTCAGGTTAATTTTGATATGAGGAATGAGATAAGGTCTAACTTCCTTCTTTGCATATGGATATCCAATTGTCTCAGCACCCTTTGCCATGAGGTTTTTTCTCCCAATTGAATAGTCTTAGAACCCTTATCAAAAACCAGTTGACAGGGGCTGCACTGTGTGGCCTGAAGCGCCGACATCCC